TAAAATAAGATTGTTGGGTTTTCTTTTTAAGTATAACTGCCAAATACTTAATAACCAAGTTCTGTTTGAAAGCATATTATTCACTTGTCATATGTAAAAATGTGACCCTGATCCTATCATTACTACATGCATGACGTATAAGGCCTCCTGAGTATGCAGAGCTCCACATTGTTTACCCCCGAACATTATTCATCACATGTGATTTTGGTCATCATGATTTCCCTCAAGACCTGCCAACATTTCCTTTGACGTATCTTTTCAAACCACCAGTGTCCTCTAACAAGCGTAGTATGCCTCAGCTTTAACACATGAGACTTCATTTTACTCCCACCAATTAGAAACATAAAACATTTTTAATTAACACTGTATTCTCAGCTAATATTTTAATCTGACATATCACTGTCTTACAGTAAAGTGAGGAAACATGTGGAGTGGGGGCAAGAACAATTTTTCACCCCACAATCCTGTTTACCACACTGTCACATTCAGAAGCATTGGTGATGTCACAACATTTCCTGTTACCATTTTGTCAAATTTCCAGGGAGTTTCAGAATGTCTCTGTGTGTTTGTACTTTCCATTTCTATGAGAAATGTTTGTATAAAAACCTCTTTCCATGGCACAAGCAAGCAGCTGAAACATGTGACAGTCCTTTTCCATCATTTATTTAAGTCACATCCCTGCAGCTATAAAAGTAATTTTGCAGTTACACTACAAAAGGACCCAAGCTAGCCCTCAGGAAGTTATAATTGTGCTATAATGCACTTAGTATTTTATAACTGGGAAAAGGAATGACAACTTACTTTTTAAAGCAGTTCCTTCCAAGCTCAATTCCAAATGTTGCTGGACTGTAATTCCCATCATCTCTCACTATTAGTTCCACTAGCTAGGGCTGAAAGGAGCTATGCTTGCAAAAAGAACTGGAGGGCCATCACTTGCCCACCCAGAGACATTGCCCATGAAGAAATCAGTATGGCAAAATGATGTTCTGCTATAGAGATAAAATAACTCTCTGTAAACCATGTGCAAAGCAGACTCCCTCTTCCTGGACATAAATATACCATGGGCATTATTCTAGACTGGGGAGAACAATGTGCAGCCCACAGGCCTTATGAGAATCTCCAAGGTCACTTTTCACCCATCCATGGGTTCTCATGCCCTCCTAAGCCACAAAACATGAAGTCTAAACACTTTTCTTCAATCCATTCAATTCACCTTACACTATCTCCCTCTGTTGACTCAGAGTAAGTATCCCTGTGTTTACTTTAAGAACAATATGAAGCAATTATATCTTAACTAGGTTGTGACACAGTTTATCAGGATTATGTATCATCTGCCACCTGCTTTATCCCAGCCTCATTTTTTTCTATTGAATACATTATTGAACCTCTAGTGACATTCCACATATGGCTGATAGGCTTCATTCAAAGTGGTGAGTCTCATTTTGTGAAGGTCTGGTTGCTAACAGGAATCAGGTACAGATCCTGGAAGATAAAGATCATCCAAAGACACTAAGGCTAAATTCACTTGATGATTCACACTCACATAATTGGTAGCTAAACCAATGTACATACTTTTGGGGAATGTATTGTTAGGAGGTATAGAGCACCTCCTTGTAGAGTGTGTTCTCCAAGGCTGTTTAAAAGGCAGATGGATGGTGCATAGCCACAGCTTTACCTCTGACCAGTATGGCCACTGATATGCTGCAGAACCATGCCTTCTAATGCAGTGGCTCAAGTGGTGAAGACACTGACTCTGCTGACTGCAAGATCGGCAGGTTGGCAGTACAAGACTTGGGTGCTGCATGATGGGAGTTAGCTCCTGTCACTAGTCACAGCTTCTGCCAACCTAGCAGTTTAAAAGCATGCAAATGCAAGTAGATAAATAGGTACCACTTCAGTGGAAAGTAAACAGCTTTCTGAGCAATCATGCTGCCACATGACCACAGAGCAGTCTCTGACAACACTGGCTCTTTGGCTTAGTAACAGAAATGAGCACCGCCCCCTATGGTTGGACAACCTTGTCAATGGGGAATATCTTTTCCTTTACCTTTATGCCTTCTAAACTTGTAGCCATCATCTGGGTCTTCAGTGTAAGTATGCTGGTGTAATTCTAACAGGATTTAGGCCTGATTCTTCACAGCCATTGAAATCCTGCATTTTTGTTGGTCGATATTGAATTTTCCCAAAACAACTGCTGAGTTTATAAAAATGAGAAGATTCAAGTTTTTTATTGTGATGTATTATACACATGACTTTTATTAGTAGAATAAAATAATTTTCAACCCAAATTTTCAACAAAAGATCAAAGATAGCAAATGTTCGCTGTGTAGCAGACTAGTATTTTCCTTTAAATACAATAATTTCTTTGGTCTCTAAATGTCCTCCAAGGGTACAGTCTTTTAATTTAACAGCTTCCATTGATTTGCAGATATTATATTATTATAAAAGAAAGTGAGACAGTGAAGAAGGCTGTGCAATCAATTTGAATCAAAGTAAAAGTGGCCGATATAAATAGTCCTATCATGAGCTCACACAGCAAAGCAAAAAAGAATAAATAACATTTGATAATGAGTATTATCCAGGAAAATAAGGAGCTATTGCAAACCATTTTCCCTGAAGAAACACAGAGGGAATTTTCCCCATTTTTTAATTTATCTTTTGCAGAAAACATACCCATCATTATTTCCAATAATAATCTACTAGAATATCCATTATTCTTGAAAATCAACCTTAGGGTTTTCTTTTTTAAAAAAAAAATCAGCTAATTGGTAATATTAACAATACAGGTAGGGAATGACAGAGAAGAGCAAGGGGAAACTTCACTGAATTGATGAATAAGTCTTGCTTTCATTCCCAGTTAAGCAAATGCTGCAACTCCTGATAATTTAAGTAAAAGTTCGATTTTTACCAATCAACGAGAATTTTTGCTTGTTGCTTTAGAAAGATTGTGCTGATTTTAAAATGTACAGAACAGTAAGATAGTGTACTACCAGCACAATGACCTAGACAGAAAATGTCTAGACAGGGGTAGGAATTGTGAGCCACCTATTGTTGCTGAACTGCAACTCCCAGTTGCATAGCCAGTGGTGAAGTATGCTAGGAACTACACCCAAAATCTGGAGGGCCAAAGAATCCTCACTCTTCTCACTCTGTGGAATTATGACCATAAAAATGGTCTATAATTTGTAATTCAGTTATGTGAGTGAATTCTACTCACAACCTTCTCTCACATCCTGCACTTTCAAGTTTCCTCTGCTTTTATCAAAGCATTTTTGTTTAGTCCTCTTTTCTTTAGTTTGTGTTCTGTTTTCCAATAATCCAATCACTTGTTTGATTTATGGGTAGATACTGCAACCATTTGGAAATCTAATGAATATATCAAATTGTTCTACAAACAAATGAGTATATATGCCAACACAGCACAGGGCTGAGAGGGAGGGAGGTGGTTTAGCTTATGGTAGGAAAGGGGAAAAATACTTGCAACCATTCATTTCCAAGTTGTTGTTTTCTTTAAAAAACAAAAACAACCATACATGCTGGGTTTCTCAGTGGTTGGGGGAACCCGTTGGGAAGAAGAATAGACCAGTAACAATTCTGTACAATTTTCTCTTATTTATCCCAAAATAGTGTGGAAGAATTGTTTTGAAAAGAAAAACATGGGTTTTGTTCAAAGACTCATTTTCTGTGCAGAAATATGGGGGGGGGAGGGTTTGCACAGAAAATACTGTTCCCTGTGCAGAAATATTACCTGTATAGGAAACAGATTCCTGCCCCCCCTCCAAGAAACCCATGTTTCTCATGTGGAAAAATACAATGTAAGAAGATCTGTTTTCACCTACAGTGAGAGAGAAACTACCATTTATTTATTTATGTATTTATTTATTTATTTATTTATTTATATTTTTTATCCTGGCATGTGAGGATGAAATAGACAGGAATTTATGGCTGCCTCCTTTCAATTTCCATTGAGGACTATTCAGATACTGCCATTGTTCTCTTTCACTCTTATTTAGATACTTATCTGCTGAAAGGATGGGACTCTGGATTAAAGCTTTTGCACAGAGGATGCACCCACACTGCACAATTAAAACAGTCTGACACCACTTTAACTACCATGACTCTATCCTACAGAATCCTGAGATTTGTAGTTTGGTGAGGCACCAGAGCTCTCTTAGAGACCAGGCTGAATACCTCACTAAACTACAAATTCCAGGATTCTGTAGGACAGAGCCATGGAAGTTAAAGTGATCTCAAAGTGTGTTAATTCTGCAGTGTGGCTAAATCGGGGGGGGGGGGGAAATCACACCCCAATCATTTTTGTAGAGACCTCCACCACAGAGATTTCTATTTAGCCAGAAAGAACCCAAGATATTTTGCTCATTGAATCAAGAGAGCAAAGGCACCCATAACCTACTCAAATCCAAGTGCAATGTAGAAAAAAAAAGTCAGATTAATTTAATACATGAAGCAGAAATCCCACAAAACCCACCCCAGCCAAGAAAAAAATACAATTAAAAATAATTAAAATGTTCTGGCTTTCCTTTCCATCCATTACTGTTCACTGATGTGATTGCCTCTGTATGCCTAATGGCAGGGTCACTTTCATTATGAGCTAGGAAGTGGTGACCATATTTCTATCTACCTGTCCACTTCCCTTTCACACATCACCATATCAATTTCTATACTGCCATATGGTGTCAAATTTCCACAATTAAAAGAGTGGTCACACAGTAGTTAAAAAACTATAAATGCATAGGCTTCAGAGTACAGATAATATTGTGGGTGGCATAGGAAATACAGTTCCAACTTGCCTTGGTCTATTTGTTCTGTCAATAATATCCATTGCTATTTCACAGAACATATACCATATCTGAAATCAGTCAGGATTTCCAGCTTTTTCTTAAACATTCTATTCAGATTGATCACCAATCAATGATTTTATAAATATTTGACTGACAAATTGGTTTAAAGGGACATCATTAATAACACTAATAGTAAGAGCCAACATGGTGCAGTGGTTTGAGTGTTGGACTAGGATTTTAGAGACCAGGGTTCAAATCCCCAATTGGTCATTGAAACCCACTCAGTGATCTTGGGTGGGTCACATACTCTCAGACCCAGATGAAGGCAATGGCAAACTTTGTCTGAACAAATCTTGTGCAGAAAACCCCATGATAGTTTCACCTTCAGGTTGCTGTAAGTCAGAAACCACTTAAAGGCACACAACAACTATATTGAGAGAAATTATTAAAAATCATAACTTCTGTTCCTATCCCAATAGGAGATTGATAGAACTTGATTTCACTATAATAAACATTTTTTTTTTTGCAATTCCTGTTAGAAAAAAAGGGAAATTTAAATGTTCTTTTCTTTTCTTTTTCATTTCCTCCCACACTGTACTTTTCAAACTGTGGTCTAGGGAAAACTTGTGAAAGCTTATTAGCAGATTCACAGTTGGAAGATCAGTAATAGTAGACAGATTCCTTTTAATGATGTGTGCTACCCACTATTAATTTTACAGTGAACAGCTATGGGAAAGCATAGATGTTTCTTACACTATGATACAAATGGCCTCAGTGAGTGAGCTCTCCAACAGAAGCAAGGAACCTGTGGCCTTCTTGATTTTGCTGGACTTCATCATCCATAACCACTGACCAGGGTTGTTGGGTCTGATCAGTATGGAATCTGGTAATATTTGAAGGAATACAGATCCTCCAGATGTCCCAATTTCCTCTATAATGAGTAGGTCTTTCATGGCTAAGGGGCAATGATTTCCTCACCAGATAAATTACTGACAACACTCTTGCATGTAGGCAGCTTGAGGATGTATTCTAGTGGCAGCCAACAGCTGACTATGTCAAGGTTTGCAAGGAAAAATCCCTTGATAGCTGCAGAATGCTAATAAGGGAGAATTGAAGTGAATTTATATCCTTTACCAAGATATACCAAGATATAGTGGTACTGGAGTAGTATTAAAGAGGCATAGTCAGTGCCTTGACAATGCATGATTAACTGAATAGTCCCCCCTCCCTCTGTTGTCAGAAGCTGCTGATGCCAGTAAAAACTATTCTTTGCTCAGAGCACAAGCACTGGTTGCAACAACCCCTACAGTTGCTTTGTTGATGCTCCTGCTATGTGCCTTCAAGTCACCTCTGACATATGGAGATGCTGTCATGGTATCTTCTTGGCAAGATTTATTCAGAGAAGGTTTACAATTACTTTCCTCTTAGGCAGAGAGAATATGACTTGACCAATGTCACCAGTGGGTTTTCATGGCTAAGTGGGCATTCAAACCCTGTTCTTTAGAATCATTGTCCAACATTGACACTACAACTGCTTCCTAAAACCTAAATGTCAACCTAAATTTCTCTTTTCCTTTCTTTTACCACAAAACCATCCCTGCTGATTTTGCCCCCAAATTTAATGTTCTTCACTGGTTAAATGGTACCTAAAACACCTTCCAAAAGACATAAATAAATAGTGTCCTTCAATATTAGCTCAATTAATTAATCAATCAAGTTTTACTTCAAGGCTGTGGAACATGTGACTCTCCAGATTTCACTGCACTGCAAGTCCCATCATCCCTAGCCAACCTGCCCACTGGTGAGGTGCAATGGGAACAACAATTCATCCACTTTGGATAATCCCAAATCACTGTCCGTTTTATTTGATTAGTCTACTAATGGAAAATTCCTTTTCTTCTCTGTTTAGAAATAATTCCTATTTAGTTCAATAAAAAGTGTGTATAGGGATTGCAATAAATTCAGTAAATTAATTGATATAATCAAATATAAGTTGCCCTGACTGCAAGATCTTTGGAAAGCTTTGGCAATGTTAATTTACTCCCATGTGTTGGGATACAGCACTAGATCTGTAGGGTAGTGTATTAACTGTCGCTGGAAATCTTAAAAATTGGGCTATACATCAGAAGCAACCCAAGACTTCCAGCATAACTGTTTTACAGAGCAATACCTTTATCTTTTGAAACCAGTTTTTCATATATAAATTGGAAAAATAAATCACAGAAAATGTGGAACATATAGTGAATTTATCTCACTGGAAACAGTCTTAGAAAGGAAGAGATTAATGTAATTATCAAATAGCACAAAAGTAATTTAGTGTCATTAAAGACAAAATGGAAGCCCCATAAGAACATGAGATTGTCAAATAGATATTGGTTTGAAGTTCACACTCCAATCAATCTTTGCAAATGTCTTACAACCTTCCCTGAACAGTGTTATCATGTGACCTTCATTTTTTACAGACATGAAAATACCTTGCACTTGACAAGATTTATTGTTCCATGCTAATAGTTCCTACATTGTCTGAGAATTTCATTCATATTAAACGCTTATATTTTAGGGACCTTAATTCATAACTTTTACAAGCCCCAAATACCTCAGATCCAAAGCAATTTGGAATGAATCAATACATCATGTTTTCCATGCAAGAAACAAAATGAAGTAATAATTTCTTCTCACATCACTGCCGCTCTCAGCATGTGACAGCTGTTTTTGGAGTCTCTGATGGACAGCACAGGAATGCACAAAAGTTTTTCATCGAGCTGAACTCTTTTTTGGGACAACATCTAATGAAGCATCTCATAATTCATAATTGAAATGGTTTTTGCTGTCCTTCAATACCCATTACTGGCTGTTTGGATCAATTTTAAACATTCAAATGTATAATACCCTTTGTCTGGAAACAGGATGAGACATTTAATAGTACCCCTTACCCAATCTTGTATCCTTCAAATGTTTTGGGCATCAACTCCTACTCTCCATGAAGCAAGATCAATAGTCAGGAAAGCTGGGAGATCTCGTAGGATTAGTTTAGACAAGGGTTCCTTACAAGCCTACAATATTTATCAAAGTTAGGCTTGAATTGTGGAGCTAAAACTTACCTTGGCCAACATAGATCAGACACATTGAAATAAATAGGGCTCATCAGTCACAGCTAACTTAATTCTATTGATTTCCATCAGTCAACTCTAGTCAGTACTAATATTTGGTTCAGAACTTGAAGTAACTAGTTACAGGTGATGTAGTTAGCTATAACTAGAGTTATTGTTTTAAAAGTGCCTTCCCAAACTCTGTTTGGATGAAGCCCATGGGTAGACACATCTACAACCAAGTATTCCCACAATCCCTTCTTGAAATGGACGTTGTTACTGGACTATGAATTATTTTATGTATTTATTAACTAAATGTATATCCCACCTTTCTCCTGAGATAGACTGAAGGCACCTTACATATTTTTAATTTTTTTATCTTTACCGTTATTACACAACACATTACAAACACTAGTACACACTATACACCCATACAACAGACCAATTATAAAACTATAGCCCCTCCACCTTCTTTTAGCCATAAACACAGAACATTTTTACTTCCAACTCATCAAATTGAAAACATAAAGAAAGATATATATTAACCTTTTTTTTTTTAATTTGTACATAATATCAGTCATTCTTTTAGCTATCTTTCTTTTCTCACAGTCTTCAGTTCTCAAAACCCAGGAGAATTAACAGTCCTTTCTTTTTAATATAATTTAAAAATTGTTTCCATTTTTTTTAAAAAAAAAAAAGCACTAGTTTACAAAAATTAAAATGAATTAAATAATAATATCATTTTAAAAGGATTTAAAATAGTTTAAAATATTTTAAAACATAATTACCAGTAAAAGTTTAAAAATATAGCACACAACTATAAGAGAGAGAACTTCTTAATTAAAATCCAGATTCCTGTCTGAACAGAAAAATCTTCATCTGTGGATGGAAAGAGAGCAGGGAGGGGGCCAACTGGAAATGTTGCAGAAGAGTGTTCCACAACCTGGGATCAACCACGGAAAAGGCTCTCTCCCTCACCAAATATGCCTTATCGGTGGTGAAACAGCCCTCCCCTGCAGATCTTACAACTCAAACTGGCTTGTACAAACCAGAATTTCAGCTTAAGCTCCAGTAAACAGAAGATATTAATCAGAAAAAAGTAAATGTCAAGGCCATAGGGGGGGAAAACACCATAAGATTGCATTCACACAACACCTAATTCTCTATTATTAAAATGAAATTTGAAATTGGTCATGATTCTCTGGACAGTCAGCATGGTGTCAACTCTGTAATTCTGTATGTCTTGATTTGGCATGTAAGATAACAACCAGTTCCAGTTTAATACTGGGGATGCTGGTTTTTTTTAATTGATTTCTTTATTTTATTGAAAACATGTTATGCTACCCTTCATATTATCAGATTTCAGGAAATCATGCAGGTATAGAAATGTAATACCTAAAACAAATAATAAAAAAACTAAAGATTGCAGTGGAACACACAGTATCCATTTGAACCAAGCTCTTAACTTTTATAGGATTTCATGCCAATCCAGAGACTGCATACTCCCACCGTAACAGCTGATGTTATCAGTATCTATATCCTTCTGTACATGGTCTGATGTATCAGCACACACAGTCCTGGGTAGCTTATAAGGATATAACCCAGCCTCAGAAAGATAAAGCTCCTGGTTTAAGCCCTAAATCCCATCACAAACTAATTGTTTCACAGGGCTATGTAAGATTATATATATATATATATATATTCAAGAACTACAGTAAGTCTTCAGATACTTTTTATATCACATAGAGATATAAGAATATGCAGCACCTCAATTTTCTCTGTGATTTAAGCAAGCAAGCACCAAGCTGTGTTATTCACAGCTGTGGTATTTTATCCCTTGACATGGGCCTCCTTGGAGCTTTCATATCTACATTAGCACATTTTAATGAGGATTCCTAACATCAAGAGGTTAAGAAAAAGCTTTCCAAAGTTCCAAAGTTAATATATTTTATTAGATTACTGTAAGGGGGAATTTCAGTTCTTGCCTCAAGATATGAACAACAACCATTCAGGATTGTTGTTGTTGTTGTTGTTGTTGTTGTTATTTTACAATGCAAGGGTTTTTCTCCCCTGAACTTCAGCCAACACAGACAGTGCCTACTGGTAACTAGTGAGTGATACTTTATTTAGTAACAACTTTGGGCAATTGGCAGGATCCACTGGCATCTTGAGCCAAGCTAA